TTGAAGTTGTCCCAGAGGCTCCTTACACTATCTTCATATTTTTGGATTCTTTTTTCTTTTTGCTTTTCCGGTTGGGTATTTTTTGTTTCTTCATGTTTCAAATTTTTGACTTGATTCTTGGGATCCTCTTGTCTGCTGTTGGATCTCTGTATATTATTCTTTATTTCAGTCAGTGTATGCTTAATTTCTAGTTGGTCCTTTTTCATATCCTCGGCTTCTCTACAGTATGAACTCTGTTATGCGGACTAAGTTCTGAGGAGCATCTAGACTTTGCCATATTCTCCACATTTATAAAGCTTCTCTCCAGTATGAACTTTCTGATGCATAGTAAGTTCTGAGGGTATTCTAAACGCTTTGCCACATTCTCCACATTTATAAGGCTTCTCTCCAGTATGAACTCTTTGATGCCTAGTACGGTGTGAGGATGTTGTAAAGGCTTTGCCACATTCTCTGCATTTATAAGGCTTCTCTCCAGTATGAACTCTCTTATGTGCAGAAAGTTCTGATGACCTTCTAAAGACTTTGGCACATTCTCCACATTTATAAGGCTTCTCTCCAGTATGAACTCTCTTATGTGCAGAAAGTTCTGATGACCTTCTAAAGACTTTGGCACATTCTCCACATTTATAAGGCTTCTCTCCAGTATGAACTCTCTTATGTGCAGAAAGTTCTGATGACCTTCTAAAGACTTTGGCACATTCTCCACATTTATAAGGCTTCTCTCCAGTATGAACTCTCTTATGTGCAGAAAGTTCTGATGACCTTCTAAAGACTTTGGCACATTCTCCACATTTATAAGGCTTCTCTCCAGTATGAACTCTCTTATGTGCAGAAAGTTCTGATGACCTTCTAAAGACTTTGGCACATTCTCCACATTTATAAGGCTTCTCTCCAGTATGAACTCTCTTATGTGCAGAAAGTTCTGATGACCTTCTAAAGACTTTGGCACATTCTCCACATTTATAAGGCTTCTCTCCAGTATGAACTCTCTTATGTGCAGAAAGTTCTGATGACCTTCTAAAGACTTTGGCACATTCTCCACATTTATAAGGCTTCTCTCCAGTATGAACTCTCTTATGTGCAGAAAGTTCTGATGACCTTCTAAAGACTTTGGCACATTCTCCACATTTATAAGGCTTCTCTCCAGTATGAACTCTCTTATGTGCAGAAAGTTCTGATGACCTTCTAAAGACTTTGGCACATTCTCCACATTTATAAGGCTTCTCTCCAGTATGAACTCTCTTATGTGCAGAAAGTTCTGATGACCTTCTAAAGACTTTGGCACATTCTCCACATTTATAAGGCTTCTTTCCAGTATGAACTCTCTGATGCGTAGTAAGCTGTGAGGACCATCTATAGGCTTTGCCACATTCTCCACATTTAAATGGCTTCTCTCCAGTATGAACTCTCTGATGCATAGTAAGGTGTGAGGATCTTGTAAAGGCTTTGCCCCATTCTCTACATTTATAAGGCTTCTCTCCAGTATGAAATCTCTTATGCAGAGTAAGTTCTGAGGACCATCTAAAGACTTCGCCACATTCTACACATTTATAAGGCCTCTCTCCAGTATGAAATCTCTGATGCCTAGTAAGGTGTGAGGACCATCTATAGGCTCTGCCACATTCTCCACATTTATAAGGCTTCTCTCCAGTATGAATTTTCTGATTTAGAATACAACCTGAAGACCAATTAGATATTTTACCAGAATCTTTACATTTATAAGGTTTTTCTCCATTACGGATTTTTTCCATTTTATTTAGATTGAATATTTGACTAGACATTCTACCACAAGGATTCCAGTTGTCAGCCTCCTCCGTGGTATGAATATTCTCTTCTTCAGTGTAATTTGAATACTGCTGAAAAGACTGGACACATTTACTTCCTATGTGTGTCTTCTCCACAATAAGAATAACCTGATGTGTATTGGGATTGGACATTTGGTCAATGACTTTTCCACTTTTATAATGGTTTTCTGCAAGCGCCCTTCTCCACTGATGATTAAGATATGACTCTTGCTTAAAATTTTTCCAATGTTCAATCCATTGATAACTGCTCTCTCCATTATATGTACTCTGGTGACAATGAGAGATAGAAAGTCCTTTAGTGACAGTTATAACTTCATTAAACTTGTACACCTGTTCCATAAGAAACATTATGTGATACTCTTTAAACCAAGAGGGTTGTATAGAAAAACCTTTCCGAATTTATTAAAATTATACACAAAAAATAAATACAAAACATTGTCGGAGAAGGAAGAATGAATCCCTGCTTAAAAGACTGCCAAATTGCCCTAGCTGGTTTGTTTCAGTGGATAGAGTGTTGGCCTGCAGACTGAAGGGTCCCAGGTTTGATTCTGGTCAAGGGCATGTACCTTGGTTGTGGGCATGTCCACAGTGGGGAGTGTGCAGGAGGCAACTGATCAGTGTTTCTAGTTCTCTATCCTTCTCCCTTCCTCCCTGTAAAAAATCAATAATATATTTAAAAATAAATAAATAAATAAAT